GACTGTTTCGCAAGGGTGTGTGTGTCTGTCACAAAGACTAAGGGGCATTGCTAGTTGTGGGGCATTCTCTGTGAGGTTGTGGGTGCCAGTGGAGGGGAGCAGTCCCAATGGGTGACAGTTAGTTTGGATCCTGGCAGCAAGAGTCCTAAAGGTTTTGTTGGGTCACTGTTGGAGACAGATGTGGTAGACATCACTTCATTAAGTTATAAGGATATGAGTTATCTGGATCCTCTGTAGTTAGGGTTCGGGTTTGGGCATGGGGCCAAAATGGCCTTGGTTGCTTTGGTGGTCGCCCTCTTGGTTCTATAAGTCCTTACAGTGGCATCATCAGCCCTTGCAGATGGGTCAGAAAGATACCACAGTCCTTTGATATGAAGGACTGTGGTATCTTTCTGGCCCATCTGCAAGGGTTGAGAGTTGGGGGACATCATTTTGTGGTGGTTCTGCTCTTATCTGAGTGAGTAGTTCCAGTTGGTGATAATGGGGAGCAGTGCTTGAGCTCCTGGGATCTCTAGTGTGGGGTTTGCCAGGGCTCAGTGCTCTCCCCCATATCTACATGAAACTGCTGGGGGAGGTCATCTGTCCATTCAAACTGAGGTATCATCAATATGTTGATGATATCCACTGATACATTGTCACCTGGCCTGGACTGGAGGTCCCATAGAAGTCCTGAACCAGTACCTGGAGACTATGAGGATGTGGATGAGATGAAATGAACTCATGTTAAATACTACCAAGATGGAGTTGCCCTTTGTCAGTAAACAGCTGGGCAATCTAGTAACACCAGTCCTGACAGTTACTCTGGACAGGGTCAGGCTCCCCATGAAGGAGGTGGTTGTGACTCAGTGTCCTCCTGGACTCTCAGCTCCTGTTAAAATAGTAAGTGTAAGCTGTGGCCAGGAGTACTTTGCTCAACGTCAGCTTACAACTCTACTTGGAGCAGGATGCCCTGATGTCAGTAACGCATGCTTTGATCACCATCTGGTTAGATTGCTATAATGCACTGTTTGTGGAGCTGCCTTTGGAGATGACCCAGAAGTTACAGCTGGTGCAGAATGTGGTGGCTAGACTATTGATAGGAGTATCCTGCCAGGAAAAATAACATCAATCCTGAAGTCATTGCATGGGTTATCAGTATGTTTCCAGGCCCAATTAAAAGTGCTGATTATTACCTTGAAAGCTGTATACATACAGCTTCAATTGGTCTCCCATTTATCAAAACATTTCCATGTTGGGGAACAACTACAACCCTTTAATTTCTGCTTGCTGCGGAGCAAGAATTAGAGGAGGAAAACCAAGCAAATATTTAGGGATTAAGAACTATTTTACATCCACTCTTCTAGGAAGGTGGTTCCTTCTCCTACGCAAGCGGTGAGGGTGCCAGTTGGACTACTTCAGATCTTCTGCTGCCCCAAGTGGTTGTGTTGTACATTGTCCAAAATAAAATCCCAGGTTTGTTTCCATTATTGCAGACAATGCCTTTTTGGCAATGGCGAAAACAGCATCACTGACAAGTGACTACTCAACTTAGAGCACAATCATACCAAATTCAGTCAGCTCAATGAGCAAACAGGTCAATGAGCAAAAAAGCTTCAAAGGCAGATGTAGACTGTGTATTTATACTCTAGGTTTTGACTTTTTATTTGTGTCCTAGAAGGAATCCTCCCTTTATGACCCCCACCCCCACTTCAGTCTTATCTTCCAGCTGTTTAAGGGTCCCAGAGAACCTGGGCGTGTGCATAGTGCTACTAAATTTTCAGCTTAGGTGTCCTTGACAAAATACACCATTGAGATGGATCACCGTGACTCCCACATCTATTCATCAATTGCTTAACCTGATTACAAACCCAGCAGTGATATTCACACAATATGCTACTTTGGTTAGTGTTACTCGAGGCTAATTTTTTGTTGCTTGGCATATTGTACAAATCCAGCCCATTTGATTTACGGTCCACTGTGTTGTGCAAACACAGAAAATGGGTGAAGTCAGCCATCAAGTGAAGCATGTTGTGCGAACATAGCCAAAATTACCCTGACCATGTGTCCTTCTATGATTATGTTCCACATTTCTCCTGTGAGTGTCCCACATACCATCTGGCCTTCCCCCATCTTGGCAAAGGCTGGAAAGAACCCTGCTAGCTGTTGTTGCTGTTTTTCTAGGGTCCAGGGGTATAGCTTTTTATGTTGATTCAGGCTGTGCTGCACATGAGTTGCTATGATTTTACTTATTTTTGTCTCTTAATCTGTGTTTGCTTGCTGGGAATGCTGGGGGGATGCATCAGTACTGGGTAAACACAGCATACAACTCTCTTTTCTTGCACACGCTCCCAGCAGTTCTTAGCCAATGCAAACAAAGTCTGTTTTGCCAGCTCATTGGCAGCTCTGCTTTGGGGGGGGGCGGGGGGTCGGGTGTGTGTCGACTGT